AAAAAAAAAAAAAAAAATAAAACTTACCTCGATTTGTTGCCTTTGTCAGAACAAAGATGTATAGGACAATTATATTTTTCATCGTTGTCGGTAAAAAAGAGACCTAACTCTATTTCAACGCATTCATAAACGTACAGCGCTTCCTCTGGTGTGTGAAAATTATAAGTGGATCCATACCATGTCTGTAACTTATAAAACAAGTACGAAGAATTCGTTATTCGTATTCTTTCAGCTATTTCACATTGAACTTTTATAAATAATGGGGAATATAAGGCAATGTTCTTAACCCTTTCACCGGCTATTGGCGCGCCTGTAGGCACTGTGCCTATCGGAGCCTCTGCACTCTTCCACGTTCAATTCAACGAAACAACTTTTAAAACGATACGGTCAAAAAAAAAATTTCTGCAACATCAAAATTTGCCGTAGCGAAAGGGTTACATTCTTAATTCGGACAATACCCCGTTTCAGAAAATATCGGTCAAGCTTCCTAATGATATTCCCTTGAAAAACTATCACTTTTTATCCCTTCAATTGTAAAGTAAACAGAACACACTCACCTTTTTATCGTTGTCGCCGCCGTCGTCGTTATCGGCCAGTTCTTCCTTCAACAAAATCGCGTGATAAATCTTCCCGGTACACATAGCAATAACGACTATTGGGGGGGTGGTCTGCAGGCACATGATCGAACAGGAGTCTATTCCGTAATTGTCTTCGGCCGATGGATACATAGAGAGTGCTCCTGACACCACTGGGCTTCCATGATTCAACCGAAAATTAATAAACACGTGTAAAATGTGTCAATCTCATCGTACAATTAAAATTCCAGTACCAGCTATCTTTTCTTTCTTTTTCCAACTAAATTTTCGTTCGATGGAAAACACAATTTCTTCAAATTTTACGAACTAATAAAAATGACTGGTGGTTTACTGAATCGTTTAGAAAAATGATTAATATCAAGTGTGTATACCTGTCGCCGTGTAAGACATTGCCACGAACAATAAGCACCTCCCCATTTCCACGGAGTACCAAAATTGGCCATTCAATTTGATTCCAATCGACCACGTTGTTCTGCGAATAATTTTTAGAATTCAATACAAACCGTGTATGTTTGACAATGTGTCCTACCGGTACCTTATTAACGTTTCTGCTAGCGAACATTTCCGGATTGCGGAGAGCAGGCGTAGCAAAATCGAAGTCCACCGCTGTGTCCCCTAACGAAGAGAAGTCCGGTATCTTCGACGGTGAACTGAACGGTACACGGCCAACCTTCCAGCATTTCACCACTTTCGGCTTATCGCCCAATTCGCATTCGTACAAGCTGCGTGTGAAAATCAATTTTTAGAAAAAGAATCAAGAGAAACTGTGTTTAGTACGAAATACTGTATCTACGTACTTTGCGTACTGAAACAAAGCTATCGTACAAAAAAAAAAAATAAAGAAAATTGCGTTTATTAGAGGAGAACTGCGTTTCGCAATTACCGAAATGTGTTCTCCGGTGTCAGAACTAGGAGATGAGAGTCGTTCGTAGAGCCAGGATGCCACCTTGCCTTTCGAATTTCCACAGTTTCGTTGTAAACCCTGTAGAAACAAACATTTACAACGTTATATAGGTGAATAGCTATCAGGAAAGTGTGCCATATGATCATTTTATATTTCCACAGGCGATGAATAGTACAGTATACCACTTGCCTGATCGCTCCATCTCGACCTATACCACTTGGTCGAGAAACTTGGTGCAATAAAGAGGGTTGGAATTTTCGAATCACGAACTTGGCTCGAATTTTGCACGAATTTTTGATATTCTAAACAACACTTCAGTGCTAGGAAAGATATTGAAACTACAGTAGTGTACACATAAGCGTCCGCAGTCGGGACCGAATTTAACTAAACAAAAGAGAGGAGATGTGTCTGAGTGTCAGTTGTTCACATTCAGGAGCCGACATCGAATTACTTTGTTTCACTCGGCACGCTCGAACTCCACTCCGAAGTCCCATTTTCAAGGATTGGTGGGAATATAGCGACGGACGTTTAAGTGTGCAAAAATCCGGACGTTTATGCGTACACTACTGTACTTACTGTCTGATAAATAGCGCGCGTCTGCTACTTGTCCCGTCACTTTCTCAGCTATACTACTTGTTCGATCATACGCGGGAAGGTGTACAATACTGGGGTGGCCAACTTGGCTCAAATTTTCCACATTATTGGTAAATTGCAAAGTAAGAATTCTATCCATTCCGACTACGAAAGGCGTACCATATACGCCCTCGCAGACTTATCAGTGCATACGAAAGACGTAAATATACGCCTCCTACGTTTCTCTTACCGTAAACACCTTATTTCATTTCTTTATTTCGGTCAACGATCGCACGAGAGTGTCAAGTCAAAGGGTCAAGAAAGGATTATCGCCCAGTTACGATATACTCGAGAACGGACAAACGGAGGAGTGTCTTAAAATCGACACGCACGTCTCTCTCTCTCCTCTCCGCCTATTCCACGATTTAACGTCTCGTCGACGCTGCCTGTGGCCCGTTATTCAACGCAAATTACCCTAATCTTTCATGATCGTCGTGCGGCCCTCGCGCGCCGGCGCATAAAGAAGAAATACACCAAAAGCCGTCACGGTGTTTGTTTTTCAACGGGACGAGCGCCGGGGACGCGGCGCGGCTGTAGGCGACGATGCTCGCCTACATTTCGTATATTTTATTATTACTCTCGCACTTTCCGTGGCTGGACACGGTAACGCTGGGCAAAAGGGGTTGACGGTGGTTAGCCGTGGCCGTTATTAATGTCTACGGGACAGGACTGGCAAAAGGGGTGAAGGAGGACGGCGGAGAGAGAGGGAGGGGGTGCACACGGAAAAAGCGAGAGAAAAGATTTGACGCAAATGGAGAACGAGAGGACAGAGGCGGAGGAAACGGGGATGGAGGAGGAGGGTTGATGAGGAGGAGCATCAGAAAGGAAAAAAAAAAAAGAGCTCAATGGGTATTGCCGGCAACTGGACTGGTTTACGCTGGGATATACACCAACGACAACGACACAAACAACTTTACCGCCACCGGTGACCCGTTGCAAAAGCACCAGAGTTCTTAATAATTGATAAAAATGTACGCATGCACGCACCACTGGAGAGAGCGAGAGGGAGGGAGAGAGTTGGTTGAAAACCAGGCGACGCGTGGTCAACCCTACAGCGTCTCCGTCTCTCCCTCCTCATCGGTTTTAATCACTCTCTCTCCCGCGCACTCTTTCTCACTCTGTCTCTCCCGCTCTCTGGCCAGTTGCTTTTCTCTCTTACCTTTTGTGCGGCCAACCTTTCATGCTTCGTTGACAAAAGCACACGCAACGATTTATTCGCACTTTACACCGCAGCCTCGCGGGGATTTTTCTTCGTTCTGTCACAATTTTGGTATTATCAAAATTTATGGTGACCCCTGGCGCCCAGTACCCACCACCCCGGACTATACTACGCGTTCCCTATACTCGCGGAACCTTGCTTAACCGGTTTTCACGCGGTTTCGAAATACCGAATTTCGTGCCGGTTCTACTTTTTTTTTTTT